GTTGATGTCTATTTACGATATCCAATTTCACGTCCAACGTAACTGCCACACGTGATCTTTTAGCAACATTGCTGGGAGTTTTAGTAGCTGGTCGCATAGGCATTGCGAGAGCACACAAAACACAATTGTGAAATCTCACAAAACACACGCCAGCACATGTGAGCAGGGCTGGATTAAGGCCAATTGATGCCCTAAACACAGCCCAACAATGGTGCCCCCTCAGCCCTCCCATTGCTTAACTGACAAGATATTAAGACCATGATTAAGACTCAATGAATACTGATGTTGAAATATGAGATAAAAAATTCAGGTTTCTTCCAGGCCCTCCCACAAACCAGATCCTACAATTGTTTTAAATATACAGTAAGGGGGTTTTATTTATTCAAATACTTACAAAATTTTAACATATTGCATGTACATGGATTAAAATCGCCTTATAATACTTATAAGTTTACTTATACTTTAAACATTTTTCTTCTACTTTTTTTAATTGCAAAGTCTTTGAATAAGTCCTCAAAACTAATCTGCCGTAACAAATCTGCTTCTATGCTTAGCAGAGACAAGGCATCCAACCTCTCTTGTCGCATAATTGTTCTGTATGGATTTTTAATATGCTTCAGCTGAGAAAACGAATGCTCAGCTGTGCAATTTGTGAGCATAAATGTTAAAAATATACGAAATGCAATTTCTACATTTGGAAAAGCACATTCAAGTTTGTCTTCTAAAATTATTTTATAAAGTTCAGCGTGACTTAATCCGGTTTTTACAGTTTCAGTTGCACTGAACTTATGGTGCACATATGAGTGAAACTGCTGAAGCTCACTAGAGAAATTAATGTCCAAGTCCTCTGGGTAAGCATCAGCAATCGATTAAAAAAATGCAAACTTGTACTGTAGTAACAAATAAATCTACAGTGGGGTATGCTATAATGCACGTAATTGGTTCCAGAATCTCGTTCGTTATAGCATTCGTTCGTTATAGGATTAATCCGTTCCAGGCCCCCAAATACAACCGCTTAACACTGAAAAAATTCTGTGGAAAATGTAAAAAATACGGTACTTTATCTTACCTTAGTGTTATTCAGCATGCAGGTACCCCTAAACACTGGCACATCACTATCACTTCCACTGGGAGTCTTGGCTTTAAGGTCCTCAAACAATTGTTTAGCCTTCTCACAAATTATAGCTTCACTAATGTTACCACCTGCCATTTCTTTCTCCTTTATCCACACTAAGAGTAAATTTTCCATCTCTTCAATCACATTACACCTTGCTTTGCTAAGTCTAAAGATTCCCTTAGCCACTTGCACAGTTTTTAACTCCTCTTTATTCTTCAAAATCGTACATATAGTCGATTTAGCCATCCCATATTCATCACTAAGTTTCGCAATGCTTCTTCCATTCTCACGTTTCTTTATAATTTCTTTCTTAGTTTCAAGGGTTATTAGCTTTCTCACTCGCTTTGGACGACTCATTGTTACAATTGTATACTTGTATAACAAAATAGTTATACAAATAATGCGAATTTCCACATCAAAAGACGAAATTTCAACAATAACAGTGGTGCACTGGCTACACAATGAGACAAAGATGGCGCCTGACGCTCTTGTTGTGGGTCGCGGTACAACAATATTCATGCGCCAGGCGAAATAGTCCGGTATTCATCCGCGTTCGTTGTAGGAGTTGCGTTCGTTATAGCATTCTCAATTTTATAGGTAAAACCGTTCGTTATAGGAATATTCGTAGTAGGATCCGTTCGTTATAGCATACCCCACTGTACTTTCTAAAACTTTTAAATTTCATAATATTCTTTGCACACAAAAGAAATACCGGTTTATTATAATTATGAATGGGTTCTTATAAATATAGACAATTCCACCCACAATTATAATATCTCCGTTAGCCGGAATCCCTCAAACCCGGAACTCTCCCATAGCCGGAGTTGAAATTTTCCAAAGGGCTCATTTTCCGGAAAATTATGAGAAAATTTTCCCGATACCCAAAAAATTCCGGGGATGGTGGATTCTTTTTACAGGTTTGAGAAGTGAAATCCAGGAGCATTTTCTGGAAATAACGAGAAAAAATTTTCCGTTACCCGGAAAATTCCGGGGATGAGGGATTTTTTTTTACGGCTTTGAGAAAGTCGTCTCGTTACCCGGAAATCTCTCATTCACACAATACATAGATATGAAAACTGAAAAAGAGCTAAATTACATTAATTACAGTATTCTTTTTTCTTATGTGAAATTACAACTCCTCCCCGACATACGACCACCCGCACTTTTGACCTGCCTCAGTCGTACAAAAATTTTGTAAAATTACGTATTTTCGAGTCCTAATGTCAGTACAGACAAAATTTTCATTTGTAATTCACTTTAAAATGGCTGGCAAGCTTAAAAGTGAGAGTTTTGTGGTGCTGAGAAGAAAAAGCGACACCCATTTTACATTTTCTATGTATTATTTAAGCATTTTCAACTTACGACCTGGATTTGGGTCCCTAACCCTGTCGTAAGTCGGGGAGGAGCTGTACATGATACAGGTCGGGCAGCATATTTCTGAACTGTAAGCCAGATGAGACCCTCAACCCTTCCCTCGCTGTAGTTGCCAGATTTCATATTTCACATAAACTCTAGAAACTAGAGTTAATGTGAAAGATGAACTCTGGTAACTACAGCGAGGGAAGGGGAGGGAGGAATGATTCATATCATAACCAGTCAGGCAGTCAATAGCACTGCAGTTAAGGCGTCAGTTTCTTGTTATTAGTAGTATTATGGATCGTTTTGTGAAGAGGAGGAAGGAGAAGGAGTCTGTGGCCGGCAGCAGTGATCCTGCCGCTGCTGACCAGGACATGGACACGGAAGTTGAAGTGACTGAGACTGTTGATAGCCAGTCCACTGAGACTGAGGCCAGTGGCAGAGGCATTTTTTGTAATTTTGTCAAAAAATATTGAAAATATTAACTTTTTTGTATCAGTTATATTTTGTTTTACTTGTAAATAGGCAAATTTGTTTATTTTAGTATTTACTCTTTTATTTATTTTTAAAGTTGCGCGTTGTGCTTGTGGCAAATTTTTTTAAAGTGGTTGCGGTGCAACTATTTCAGCAGAGTTACGGTTGCAACCCCAAAAAAAAAGTTGCATGTGCCCACCTTTGGTCATTTGACTAGGAGACAATTTCTTACCACCCTGTAATGAGAATACATAGGGGCCTCGATTAGGGAATTTGGTTAACCATTCTTGAAGATTCTTAACTGGGCACAATATATGAGGAACCCTTGTCTCATCCATTAGCCACTTTATCCTGATAGGTTGAGCTTGAAAATCCTCCCTTGTATTTAAATGATTATTAGATGTTTTAATTGCCTGTATATTGGCCTGGCAAGTTAATGCTAAGCATTTACATACCTAAGTATAAAGCGAGACGTCGCATTCTGGACTTTATCACAAAAAACTGGTTTCTAGAAAAAAACGGCTTTTTTCCTTTTACGAATTTCTGGGAGGAATGGGTTAATGCCCATTGAAGTGAATACAACCTTTGCTTCTTCATAAAGTGAGGGTCATTTATCTCTGAAAATCTGTAAATCACCCTGGAGATCCTTTAAATTCCTAACTTCAATATCTAGGGTAGAACTTTGAGCCTGTAACACCTGATATTTTGAGTTGAACATTTTAAACCAGAAACCTGCCATCAAAACACTCGCAAGACAACACATAATGTATAGCACCTGTCACATCCATTTTAGCCTTCACTGTCCAGCTCTTTAGTGTTGATATTTCTTTGAGAGCAGAAACAATGCCCGGTAAATGATGAGCAAAGGGCTGGACACTGGCTACTCTATCTGTCCATTGTGTCCCTGATAACCTGTAAAGAGATGCACCTTTGTGATTTCTGAGCATCTCCCACTATTTGGGCTTGCTACAACAAAGTGTGTAAATAGTCTGCATCATCCCTCCCAAAAATTACTGCCTCTTTGCAACAAGCAGCAATATCTACATCACACAAACTTAGAGAATGATTAAATGTCATAAAATAAACAAACAATCAGCAACAAAACTTTAACGCCAGTTGCAGCAAAGCCAGCCGTTCTTTTTATTATGCTATGGGCCTCAGTGGCTCAGCTCAGTCACTGTAACTGGACAATTAACACCAATTAATTTTTTTCCACATTAATTAACTTCCTTAAGCAGGATATAGTACTGTAACTATATTTTATATAATTATACAGTGTAGGTATTATATCCAACAAAAAACTAAGTTTATCAATATGTAAAAAGAAAATTAAAGTGTGTTAATTTCACTTTACAATGATGTAAACACCAAAACACCACGTTGCAAACAGTGTCTCCTGTGTAACTGATATAGGAAGCTGCTTTTCCACTATACAAGGCTACAGCATTGTCTCAACAGTCAGTACTGACTTGCATTGAATATTTTCTTACACAGACAATACATTTGTGTATCATTACTGAATGAATATTCTTCCAAAATGTAATAAAATAATGTACTTTATTTCCTTGTTTTGGAAGAGCGTAAGATAAACCTAAGTTGCTCATCCTAGCAGAAACTGCGGCACCCCACTGGGCGTGCTAGTAGCTGCGAGTTCATGATGCATGCACGTCTTGAAGACTCGTACTGTACAGTACGTAGCTCAGTTGCTGACACTGTGAATGACTTGAGAAAATACTATTGCAAATTTCCTTGCCCCCTTTAAGTTTCCACAGATATGAGATATCCTTTTCCATATGAGTGCTTGTTATATATTTTAATACATAATGTTTATATATTGTCTTAAAATAATATGTAATTTTTTGTATAGTCTATAGAATGCAGGATGCACTAAGCTGCACGAATCCCTGGCTACCCCTTTGGGCACGGGCCCTGGTGTTTTGGTACTACAGTGCCTGTAGTATTACCATTCTCCGCTCATGGGCCCTGCTTTACTGTGCAGTACTGTACTTGGTAATTTATGCAAAAACTATTATCATCTATTATTTTGTTGCAGGTGACAATGTCTTTGTGGAACAGAGCACAGCAGTTGCCCCCAGATGCCCTCCGTCAAGTTCAAAATGTTTACGGTGAACAGTTTCCAATTGAGGTGCGACATTATCTGGCTGGGTGGATAGAAGATAAAATGCCCCAGTGGTAAGTACATTTAACTATTGTTATTTAAAATGATTATACTGTACATTGCAAGAGTCGTGCTCTTTATCATATGTAGTACAGTACAGTACAATAAAGTACTGTACCTTTGCAGTATGTGAGTTAGCCTTCATTTATAATGCCTTAAGGTACATATACAGTATACAGTACTGTACAGTATATATTTTATAAGAATGATACAATACTATACAGTATAGGGGGTCTCCGACTTACTAACGTCCAACTTATGAAAGCCCACCGATACGAACGAGGTTAAACTTTAAATTTACAGTATCTTATTTACCTGATGACTTATTTTTTACTTTAATTTACTGTATTTTGTCATTCTATTTCTTCTTTTGTCTTAAATTAAGTGATTTTAGATATATGTAAGGACTTAGGGTAGCCACTCCTCGACTTACGACGGGGTTAGGGACCCAAATCCAGGTCGTAAGTCAAATTATTCATAAGTCGAAAATGCTTAAATAATACATAGAAAATCTAAAATGGGTGTCTCTTTTTCTTCTCAGCACCACAAAACTCTCACTTTTAAGCTTGCCAGCCATTTTAAAGTGATTTACAAATGAAAATTTTGTCAGTACACAGCAATCACTAACGTCGGGAATCGAAAATACGTAATTTGACAAAATTTTGGTATGACTGAGGCAGTCGTATGTCCGGGTGTTCATAAGTTGAGTAGGTCGTAAGTCGAGGAGTAACTGTAATACAGTATAGTGGGATTTTAACATTGTTCTACAGTATAAGTATGGTATGCACATAGCATGTGTTCCAAGTACATTTCCGTGTTAAGAACGTCCTTCTGAATGGGACCCGTTCAGAACCTGGGTACCCCCTGTACAGTATAAATTTTGTTCATATAATTGGAGAATGAGCCAGCATACTCTTGAGGTTAGCATAAGTCTGTCATGACCAAATATTTATGTCGCAACCCTTAGTCTGAAGGTATCTTGAAGTGTCACTGTATTTTCTGGGAGGGTTACGGTATTGAAATGTTTTTAAGAGTTAGTTGTGATTAATAGACTGTAGATCAGCAGTAAAAGTTGTCTCAAGTTTGCCTCTGTTATATACTGTACAGGTGTACAGTACTTTAATGGCCTGTAAATCATTCATCAAGTTACTTATCAGGCAGCTTCCAGAACACCCCCTTGTCCATTTGTTTTGTCAAGGAGGTTGTCATTGTTCTGAGGCAGAGCCAATGATCTGATCACTGAAAACTTAAACATGGCTCACCAAATGAATGAGTAGTTAGCTAATGAGAATTTGAACTCATTTACAATCCAGCTGTGCCTCAAGAACATAATGGAGTCAAAACACTAAACATAAATAAATCATCAAAGTAAACTTGAGTCTTCTAAGTTCTTTATAAGGGCAGAACTTATGTTAGTTCTTCAGAAAAAGGAAGAGTGATTCTTGCCCTCAGTCCTGCAGGTTAGAAATGTAAAAAAAAAATTTTGGGTTGAACCCCCCCCCCCCAATATTTCCGAATTTTTGTAGCCTCGTAAACTTACATTTTGAGTTGCTTTCAAAACAAGATATCGTTACTGTATATTGTTTTTAGATAATTTTCACATTTATTTTCATTCATTTACAATAACTGTTGCCAAAAATAGTACTGGAAAGTACTGTGCTCTGCAAAGGTATTGTACAATCATTAAAATATTTTCAAATATATTTACTTTACTCTTCAGTAAAGTATTTTGTTAGTTTCAAATTTTATAGAATAATCTATCATTATTAAAGAAAAAATTATTTCAGGAAAAGAATAATGTAATCCAGTTATACAGGTATAAGTAATTACACAAGTTCGAGAAAGTCCTATTCATATATATTTTTTTTTTCGGAAAGAAACCATTTACATCACCAAGTGCTGTACTACCATAGTCTACATGGACTGGTTCAGGTTTAGGGATGGGATGCTTTATGACAGGGTTGTCAGTGCATCCTTCCTTTTCTCCACGTTTTCTTTTTTCAGTTTTATCTGCCTTTTGGTTTGAGAAAAGTGGTAAGGGAGATAGTCTGTTGTTTCTCAAGAGTCCTTCATTTAAGTTTACTCGGTTGAAATTAAGTCCAGTTTTAGGTGATGAAGGAAGTTGATAATTCATCTTTGAATCTGTGTTTGTGAATTAAGTTGTTCTTTTCCTGCCAAAAGGTATTATGAGTAGGCTTGATGTAATAATTATAAATTAGATTATGCATTCCCTCTAATACCACATATATTTATTTCTTAACAGGAATGAAATAGATCCAGAAAATGTATCTCACAGCCAGTATGCACATACTTTAGTATCACAGCTTATCCAGGAGATGGAAAACAAAGCCCTCAGTTATGGCAACAATGAAGACCTTTTTCTTGTCCGTATGCGCCTGGATGAAGCTGCAACGTCATTTAAGGTATGTTGCTGTAAAAACTAGAAACTGCATTTTTTTTTATAGTTTTCTTGTTCAGACTATTCTCCTATCTTGTTATCTTCAGTTTTACACTTGTTTTGATCACTATTGTGTCTCATTGAAATGTGTGTAAAATTGGTTTGGGATAATCCAGGGTTGAAATACACCCTTACCCGTTATTGTACAGTACTTGGAGAAATCTCAAATAGAAACAGACTTGTCCAAATGACGACTTCTTTCATCCATCAGACAATCTTATTTTTCCATACTTAGTACTGTTACTATCTCACACAACTGTAACATATGTTCAAACAAGCTCATGTTGTGAATTTTTTCTCCTTTATTTATTAATTATTATTATTTTTATTTTATTATTTTTTTGATAACTTTAAGCCATAATTTATCATTGTTCAGAAATTCCCCTAAATACCTTCCGGTGCATAATGTATTGTAGGTATCCTTTGTATGCATTTTTGATAATCAGATCAATTTGATACCGTTTTGAATTGGAGTACCTATATACAAATTTTTGAAGATACTGTACTGTACAATTTTTTTTCTATTAACACTATTGGGTTTAGGGAAGAGCTCTCCAGCGATACGCTGGTCACTAAACTCACCGCACTTGACTGCACCACACAAGGGATAATTGTACGTAATGAGTCATAGCAAGCTTGCTATTTGAGATAAAATGATGGGGTTTGTTGCATTAGCACTGGAATTAAATTTTCTACAAACAGTTTTATATAAGTAATCACGCTAAAATAAATATTTCTATACGTAAGTGCGAATAGAACACAAAATGTTTGTTTACACTTAATGAAAATTTTTATACATCACTTTATACCTGTGTTATTTCACATGATTGCAATATAAACCTTTTTCTAGTATAAAGCAAACATGGTTCGCAAAAAAACGTTATCAAGAAAAGTTTTGAAAAATTAATATTTCACTCGGTAATAGTGGTGTAAATTGTGCATTCTGATGAGCGTGCCCAGGCCAAGTACAGATTATTTTTTCCCTCCAAGCGCAAAATATAATTTTATATATTGAGTCATAGCAAGCTTGCTGTTGGAGATAAAATGATTGGGTTTGTTGCATTAGCATTGTAAATACAAAATCTAGCAATAATTTAAATCATACACCAATTTACACATGAAAACTTCAAAAGTGTTAATGACATTGATTTACAGGCAAAAACCCCAGTTACAAAAAAAAGCCTTGTTTTTTCTTCATAATGTTAGAAGATGCTTACGTGCTGACACAAGATTGCTTTACATCTTACAATATGGTACTGTACAGTATAGTCTCAGTGATGACCTGATAGAGACAGTGGTTGATGACTGAATACTTCAGTTATATTAAAAGAGAATAAAAAATTGATGAAAATTAGACTGATTCCTTTGATTCTGCTTCACATCTACCATGGTACAAAGCATGTAAGTCTCTGGCATATTTGCAAGAAGGTCTGTCAGCAATTGTGACACTTGCTTTATTGGCCCAACACAAGAGGAGAATGTCACTGGAAGTGATGTTACACCAATGAAGGTGATGTTAATGACAACTGTGGTAATTATTGTGATGCTGTACTGTATCTATATTTTTGGCCCAACACAAGAGAAATTTTTTAAATTATGGTCACATCAGAATTCCAAACTAAATCAGGTCAAAGACTGAGGGGACATGAGTAATGAATTACCTCTTTGGATTATATTGGTTGAAACTGTTAATAATATGCTTTGACTTTTGATGTGTCTGAACAACGATATTTTTGTCACATACTGTTTTGAAAAAATCTCTGTAAACAGTGCATGACTCAGATAATACATGTGTGTTGTTGATTAGCATCACACCATAATGTTATCACTGCTTATTCCTCTATCACTCTGTGAAAGAGGAATTGGCAGAATGTGCAGTAGTATTGTTCTTAGATTACATTTGCATTCATAGGTCCTGCCATAAAAAGTAGTGTACTGTACTAAATTCTCCACACAAAGGGGTGATTTACAGTGATTAGAATAGGAATTTTATATCTAACTGTCATTAACAAACCAACTTTGAATTAACTAAGAGAACTTAAGGTTTTAGGTAATAATTATTTACATACAATATGATCTTTTTTATATGACAAGGTTTTTGTGCTCTTCACTAACCTTTATTCTCACTTTGGGGTCTTAGTGCACTTGTTGCAGTTGATATGGCAGAAAATTAAAAATTATAAAGTTGATATATCAAGTACAAAGTGAATTCAGTTGAAAATTTTGATAAAAAGTCAGTAATTGATGAGTAATAAAGACGTGATTCAGTGATAAACTCCTTGCACATCCATTATGTAAAAGAATCTATGACATGTTTCATCATTTTATTAGTTTACACTTTTGGTTTGATTTTTATCTGAGAGTACACAGCAACTGATAGTGGAAGATAAGATTTTCATGCAGAGAAAGCCATTAAGTTTTCTACGTAGAAGCCAGTTATGGAGAGGATCCAGAATAGCGTGGTCAGGCTTTTATCTAGAGTGCTTCCTGTGGTGTTGATATGCAGTACAGTACCTGCTGTTGTCTCTTCTGGTGTGCTTACTTAAGTTCAGTCTGCCTATTTTGAATATATATACTGATATGTAGTTGGAAAGATCAAGTTACATGAAGACTTAAATTATAAAAGTATCATCTTTAAACAGGTATTCGAATTTAAGTGAACTAAGAGATATTTGTTGTAGATTTAACGTAAAGTGAAGCAAGGCGATTGTTATAGAGAAGTTCACGGAACTTCTAGATTTTAAAAGTAAAAATTAAATTGTGTAAAACTAATAACTGAGGGATTTAGCATTTTTTTTATTCCTTGCTACATTATAAGCCTGAGAGTGCATCAGGTCTCATTGTAAGTTTAATCATCTGCTAAAAGGTTGAATGGCATACAGGATGTTTTCTACCATTTGTCTGTCCATTATTCTCAATGGCATTGCAGTATTTACGTTTTCTGCATCTCAGACTTCACGAGATAGAACCAAACCAAATTTTATATACAGTATTGTGTTTATGTGGGAGGCAATATACAGCCTTCTTGGTTTTGAGTCCTTCTTTTCCTTCATGGCTGCCTTTTTGCCCTCATGCCATCTACCACTGAAATATGTACTACCTTACTCTTTCATCAAACTTTCAATTTCTATTCTATCTGTATGTCAGTACTGTACCACCTAACCTAACCCTGGTCAGCTCATTGACACTCCTTACATTTCCACATCTCTGTAAAATATAGTTTTATGTATTTCATATTTTCTTTACCCTATTCACCCATATTTGTACTACAGGTACTGTATTTAGAAATATTGTATTGCTTTTAGATATATGTAACCTGTGTGCATATAAAATCTTGAAATATTATACTTAATATGTATTGTTGTGCTTGCAGGAGAAAAACTCGGATGCAACAAAGTAGTTTTTACATTAACTTATAATATTGATGATAATAATCCTCTTAACATATTCGCAAAGGTTAGGATTCGGCTTCTTGAATCCATCTACATCCACCTTGAGCACATCCCTCTGCCTTATCTTCTGTTTTCCTCCTGATATCCTCCCTCTTTACCAGTTATTTCCAGGCTCTTTTTGGTCGCTTCTATTTCCTCCCGTTATACCACATGTTTTCTCTGTTGCAGTGATTTAATTGATAAACTCAAGATACACAATGAACCATGTGAATTAATAAGTTTTGATGTAAATTCACTTTTCACTAGAGTACCTGTGAAAGACCTACTTTCATTTCTTAAAGATAAATTACAACTGTTAGATTTAACTATTGAACATGATACTTTTCTCAAATTGATAGAGTTATGCATAACTGACAATGTGTTAAGAGCAAATGGGCAGTTTTACAAGCAAATATTTGGCATGGGTAATTGTCTTTCTGCTCCTCTAGCCTGTATTTATATGGAGTTTTTTGAGGCTAGATTACTACCCAATATAGGGGTCTTTATTCCTCCATGGTATAGATATGTAGATGATGTTCTTTGTCTTTGGCCTAGAATCAGTGACCCATTGGAGTTTTTAGACAAGGTTAATGATATTGTCCCAAGTATCACATTCAAAATTGAAAGCGAAATAAATGGATCCCTTCCATTCCTTGATATGCTTATCATTAGAAATGGCCATAACTACAAATTTAAGGTGTACAGAAAGCCTACACAGGTAGACAGTTTCATACATTTTTTATCGAATCACCTGGAGTCTACCAAAATGTCAGTTTTTTCTGCTATGTTTTTGAGATGTTTGCTTATTTGTGACGCTGAGTTTATTGATAAAGAATTGAAACACATTCGTTCCATTGCACAAGAACTTGGGTACCCTTCTGTGTTTGTTGATCATTGTTTTAAAAGGGCTAAAAAATCCTTTCGTTCTACTCAAACCAGGCAATTTCCTACACCGAAGAATATTTTGACTCTGCCCTATCGCAATGAATTTGTCCCGTTAGTTTGGTCCCTTAAAATACTAAATATTAATGTTGTTTTCAAGTATGACTCGACCATTACCAATATGTTAATCAAAAATAGCCCAAGTTTGAATGTAAATGAAAGTGTTTATTGTATTCCATGTAGCTCAGAATCAAACAACATAAGTACAATATCAGAACAGCATCTGAAAGCAGTGCCCTGTTCGTTCATGTTAGGAATAATAATCATCCCATTGCTTGGGAAAAAAGCTTAGAAATATTAAAATTATCATGTGTCACAGAAAGACTTCTGGTTGAAGCTAGTTTGAAAATGGAATTAAAATCAATAAACCTTAGTGATGGTCAGTTCAAAATTGATATTATGTTACATAAATTTATTTGTCAGTGGCCCAAGATTAAAAATGCTTTGAAAACCTTTGATCTAGATGTATGATAGTTATTTAGTGGGTCCCTTATTTTTGACCTGACCTGACTAGTCACGTCACCCCCTTTCTCTTAAGCTCCTCTACGTGTGTGTTGGTGTGGGGATTAGTGGATGACATCATTATGACCTGACCTCATGTTTAATAAGGTCGCCCTGTATATTTAAGCCTCTCTCTGTCCATGTAATCCAGTTGCCTCTGAAGATGTCTTGAATAAAGATGAAAGCTAAGGTGCTCCGTTGTTTCCCTTTTCCCCGTGTGATTTTATCAATATATATATATGTTCATATATTCCAGCGATGTAAATTTAATCAGGTCCTAAATTAACCAGGGTTTTAAATACGAATTGTAGTTAGTAGAACAGTTGTTATTCGAGGCTTTCCTGGAGTGAGATCTCTACTAGATTTTTTATTGTTTCTTCATCATTTCATGTACAGTAATGGTAAACCTAATAGCTAATATCCTTTTGTTTTCTTACAGACTCGGTACCTGAACAATAATCCTCTTGCTTTAGTGGGTATTATACGTGAGTGCCTCAAAACAGAACTGCATCTTGTTCAGCAACACGAAAATGTAAGTGTTTTCGGGTAATTTGCATGAAGTGTTGCGGGGGGGGGGGGGATTACAATAACTGGTATCACATCACATTTGGCGAGTACTTATGACTAATTTTTCATTATATACTGTAGAGGATTTTTTTTAAGCTCCTTGTCATCAGGAACCCTCAGGAAACATTTCTCCTGTGTCATAGTTTCAAAATTGGCCCTTACAGATTTTTGTTTTCTTAATTCTGTTTTATATCAATGTGGAATGCATAGACTACACCATTTTATGTTCTTACAATTTTTTTTCACAATGCAGTACAGTACTGTGTTTGAAAGACGTAATTTATTCTCATTAAAGTACAGTATATTGTCACCCTATTTCATTTGTTCCTATATATTTAACAAATGATTATGTTATTCAGTTTTAAAATTGCACAATTTGAAAATCAACCAAGGTTAAGTCTCTTATTGATTAATTACCCAGTGAAAAAAATGAAAGTGATCGCATGTGTGCTGCAGTATCTGCCTTCTGATTTTGTGTAATGTTCTTACATACCAGATGTTGGGAGCTGTAGTACAACCAGCCAGTATGACCATTGAGCCGTGTGCTGAAATAGTTAGTGAATTAGATATCTTACTCCGACGTACTCGTGAAACAGCAGATGAGCTGAGGCACCTGGAACAAGAACAAGAATCCTTTGCGTTACAATATCATGACTGTGCAAAAATTAATGGTGAGTAGGGTACAGCTCCTATTAACTTTATTAGTTTATTGTAAACCGTAATTTTGCTCTGGAGTTGTAACAGATTCATTGTGTCAATATGCCTGTACCCACAAGCACACTTGGGCATAAAATTTTCACTGGCAGTTGGTGACATTGATTATTGTATTTCTAACTTTCTAAGCTGATTTGCAACTTAACTAATCTTTCTGAATTCCTATGTGTGCTTTCTGAAGGTGTATGTCTTTATTTTGAAATATTAGTTTGTGTGCATGCATGTGTGTATAGTCCCGGACAAAAGTCCTCTGTCAGGCAGTTTTGCCTAACCTGGTTATGTGGCAACGATGGAGACACACACACAATAATAAATAGATCGAACAGACAGCCAGGCATGAAAGATGAGGTACTATGGAGAGAGACAGTCTGTCAACCAGGAAGAGACCTTTACCTTTGACCCGTGTGACCACCACCCGTTACCCCACTTGGAACTTACATAAGAACATAAGAATGGAGGAAACTGCAGCGGGCCTATTGGCCCATACTGGGCAGTCCCATTCACACCCAACCCCTATTGCTCATATATCCATCCAACCTATGTTTGAAGCTATCCAGCGTATTCGAGTTAATGATGATGTTTGGTAACTTGTTCCATTCATCCACTTACCAGCCTTAGTTAATTCCCAAGTGACCCACTGCCACATAGCAGTTAATCCATCAAACAGACCATGTCAAACTCACACAAGTTAAAATGTTTATTTTGTTGACTCTACTTGTTTCACTGTCACGTTTTCGTAGTTACTTACTCTCAGGTGATGAAACAGTAATGAATTGTGTATGAAGAATATTCTTTTAATTAATATTACTTTACTAGCCATAAACTGGTTGCATCTATCTGAACCACGGGCCACACTAAATTAAATTTTTAAATCACTCTGTGGGCTGCACAAAAACATGGTTCGGGCCGCGGGTTGCCCATGCCTGCTCTTTGGTTTAAAGTGCGCATTTCATGCCTAGATTGCCATGTTGCCAGCACTGTCAGGAACAAACCAGTGAATACCATTAATATAATTATTTCAACCTAAATTGAATGATGAGAACCAATGTATTCGCAAGCACAGACGAAATGCTTCCCCACGCACACACGCCGCAAAGCACCGTCTGCTAGACACCTCGATGCACATCGTCTTTGAACTACACCATGCATCGATGATATGAGATTTCTTACGTGAGTGTCAGGAGGACAGGTATAAAAAAATGATGCACAAAGAGATACTTAATTTCAATTTGAGAGGGTTGGTGATAGTTCCAGACAGCAGGGTGGCAGGAGGGAAGTGCTCAAGTCAATTTTGCCTCGCATTCCTACTTATCATTAGTGTAATGTTTTATTGCCAACCTTTTAGTATAATCAAGTGCCACATTTGAGATATTAACCTTACATATTACAGGGTTCTAAAAAAATTTGAAAGAGAACAGAATACACAATGTGGAAACTCCCCCATGACTGACAGACTCACACTCACATAGTTTAAATGCTGCTCTACATTCCAATTGATAAAATTGGTTCAAGTACATTGTTATATCTAGTCCAGTGCAAAGGAAGGCTGCAGGAGTTGCTGCCTGGTCCACTCCTGCTGTAGCTTCCACATATTAACCATATTAGCTCATACAGTCTCAATGGGGTTCAGATCACAGGCTTTACTCAGTTAGTCCAGCAGCTGGATGTGGTCTCTGTGTTCGGTGAACCACTGCGCAACTCTGCTGACGGTGTGGATAGGGTATCGGTCCTGAGATAAATTGAAACAGGAGATAAAATCAAGTGTCATACAGTTTATATTATTATAAATATTTTTTAGCTATTAATTGTATTATAAAAATGCTTCATAACATTATATGTATATGTATAGGAAATATAACAAAACTTTAACTGCATGAAAATGATGTGCTCAGGGTAGGGCAGGGTGTATGGTCGGACTGTTGGCAGCGAGATTACCTCTTAAAAAAAATTCTAGATATTGCTCAGTGGTGAATCTATTATTTATCTCTGCCAACTCACCCACACTGTTGAAGTTGATCCAGCCCTACATGTTTATGGTCACATGGCTTCTTGATAAACATGTTGCCTGTTATAACGGGTGTTATCAGGTCTCCACCAGTGAAGACGGCTGTACAGTAGGTGGTAGAGTTGAAAGTTGTTTTATCCGAGAAAATAACTCTTGCCCACTAGTCAAAGTCCTCCCCACATACTGCTCAGGGAACTGTAGTCTTCCAACCCAGTGTCGTTCTTCGAACCTTTCCTCGATAGCAGGAACCCTGGTTGTAGTTGGTGGAATGACTGAGCAGTTGCTGTATGACTATGTCATATCTTGGATAAGTTAAAGGTTATGGTGAATGGCATGAACTGTCCCTAGAATCGTCATTTCCATATTACAATAAACTATCATGTGCAATATTATGAGACTGGCATCATTAATACCTTCAATAAAAGCAAAAGGAGAAGGATAATATACCCACAACCACTCTCTTTCAGCGACCATTCTCCTTTATGAACCTCTCTACTATGAATAGTAAAACTTTGATAACTCGCCATGTATGGGGTTCTGGCCTTGCCATTTATCCCAAATTCCGACTTATCTCCCCCCCTCCCCCCCCTCAAAAAAAATATTGCGAGAATAAAAAAATAACGGCCAATATACCTATACATGTAATTACTAATTCTTAAAAGGTTACACTTACTAATACTGCAGGCGAAGAAGGAAGTATTGTAGTAGGCAACACAGGGGATTTGTAGGTGATGCAAGCGAATGGTAGGTGACGTAGGGGAATGGTAGGTGACGTAGGGGAATAGTAGGTGATACAAGGGAATGGTAGGTTACGCTACACAAACAGTAAACAGTGCAGAACTTATGTATATTACTATAATTTGGTCTTTTATACAAAATAAGGGATAAATTTTAACACAAATTATTTTTTCTCCACATATAATTCAAGTCTGAGTATGTAAATAAACATGTAACTTATATTACAGTCATTCCTTGGTTATTGCGATTTTCGTTGTCACGCCTCCATCAAAATCTGCATACCTGCTGTTATAGCGCATTTTTCAAGCTGAGAATTTCGTTATCACGCAGTTGCCTCCAGGTGTTTTTACTCATTTGCTTCACCTACATCTATTGAGGATAAAATCTTTCACCTACAAATTGACAATAACACATTTGCTGTAATCAGACATATCTAAGTTGCCTCAACAAATGCAACCCCAGTTGCAATTTCAAATTCTGTGTCATTACTAAGGAATGACGAAGTCTCGGGTGCACTCTAAGATTGAGAGAAAAAGGAGGACTCAGGCATCCTGAAGCGATGAGAAAACGGACTCCTCGGACGGGGGACTCAAATAAAGAAAGCACAGCTACATGTTTTGTGGACTACAGTATTGAGCGTACCCTTTTCATCACTGTAATAAACCTAGCCATGCCTATGTGTGTTTCTGATCTTTACCATAACATAATCTATATATTTAGGCCGAGAATTTAGTTATCACACAGTTGCCTCCAAGGGGTATTGTTACCCCCTTGCTTCACCTACATCTATTGAGGATAAAATCTTTCACCTACAAATTGACAATAACACATTTGCTGGATGAAAATGGATGGAGGTAACAAAACTTGAAAGCGGTTGTACAAACACAAGCACTCACACATGCCACTCATACTGACTGACTTGACACTCACTTACTTGACATGTTTTACCAACCATAAAGACAGTTGAAGCTTTCAACATCACTCACAATGGATCTTGAATGTTCTAACTGTAATCAGACATCTAAGTTGCCCCAACAATTGCAACCCCAGTTGCTTCGCCGAGTAGTCTCCTTCCTGGATAATGTTTTTTAATTCAGGCGGGAATATCTCGACAGCAATCGTATCTGAACAATCAGCTTCACCAGTCATCTTAATGTTATGAAAGTTATAACAATACTTAAAACGTTGAAACCATCCTCGGCTGTCCGTAAAGTTCTCTTCCTTTGATCTTTCACCCTCTACTGCCTTTAAGTCGTCAAACAAGGATTTTGCTTTATGCTGGATAACCATAAGGCTCACAGGGGAATTGCATTGATTCTGATCCTTCATTCACATAGCCAGCATCTTTTCCATCTTTTCAACCAAAGAACTTCGAGTACTACTTGTCTTTGTTGCACTCGGAAAACTACCACTTCCAGCACTAGCCTTAATCTTGTCCGTATTGGTCCGGATAGTACGCACTGTTGTGGGGGTTAAACCTAGAGTAGCAACTATTTCCACCACACGTTCCACATTTCAAAATGGGTTAAAACCTCCATTTTCGTAGCTAGGTTAATGGTCTTATGTTGCTTCTTCACGACACTAGCATCAGTAGCACTTGATGGGCACTTGGAAGCCATTTCGAATGGTTAGAGTACAGGATTACGAGCAAAAACACTTCAACTCATAAAAATATATCACCAGAAAAAACATTGGAGAAACCACTCATACCCTTCATAAAACCTAAACTTTACCATACATAGTAACACAACAATTATATTTTATTTCTTACAATACCTTCCTTGCACTAAATTCTTCTTCTCTTTTTTTACTCTGCTTAAAGAAAAAAAATCATCCCATGTGGTATTATGCAAATTAAGATATAATTTTTGTTGAATGTTAGTAGAGTCAAGATTTAACACATGTAGGTGTGAAGGTCGTCTGTAGATAGAATGTTACGAGTTGACAGAGTGTGTGGCATCTCCCTTAAGAAGAGTTACTGGAGGGATCAAGGTGTCAGGGATATACATACAGTACTGTATGTACACATGTATAAGTTGATCTCGTGTATAGGTCAACCCCAAACTTTCTTTTCGTATATAAGACGACAATTCTACCCTTGGGTTTGAGGGATACTGATAGGCCTAGTATGGGATATGGTCATATAATATAACCCTAGAAGTAAAATATTACATTACTCTAGAAGTAAAATTCACTGTTATCATATTGGGGAACAGCCTTGGAGGCGTAATGTTAGCTAGTGTTCGTAGCTAGCAATACCAACTGAGCTAGTTTTTGTAATACTGTATGTTTTTGTCTTCACACTGTCTTTAGTATTTAAGCATAAGACACAGCAAACAGGTGAATGACACTATTAAGAGTGGTGCCGCGTCTCTCCCTCAAACCTGCAAAATATAAACCCAGTGTGAATTTTACTCCCTTACATTATTCTTTTTGAATCCTCACATTCCGGTATTTTCTGGGATTAGAAACACTTTCAGTTATATATCTATTCACATGCATGACAGCATTATAACATGACTGATGCGACCAAGTGTTGCAAGTCAGAAACTGCATTTTGTTTTTGTATTTTTTGCTCTCTTTTTCTCTAGTTATTTGTTTTAGATCTTTACATTCTTTGCTACAGTAATTTGCTTTACTTACGGTAAAAGTGTTTGAAAAGAGAAATGCTAGTAACTTGAAATTCAATTTCCGACTTGGCAACAATGCCATCTACTGGTGTATCACCTTAAATAATAAAAAGAAGTGAGACTGGTCATACAATGTGAGTGTGAAATGAATGTTTATTTGTCCCAGTATGTGTATAATTACTGGTAATGTGGCATATGAATCCATAAATGAATGGCATTATGCCATTGATGTACAGTACAGAAGAAGGAATCTGCTGGCAAGCTAGCCTACAGAAAGAAACTTATCGATAGACCTACAGTACCTTACCCTACCGGAAGCGTGTCGTAAGTTAGCCTACCGTTAGGTTAAGGAGCTTAGCCTAATACAGGCATTGCATAGCTTATTAGTACTACCCTAATTGGTAAGTACAATGCTTATTGGTACTAATTGGTAAATCTTTTTCATGATTTAAGACAACAGGTGCCCCACTCATCCCCCAACATGCACAGATTTCAACCCTTTAAAAATACTACCCATGTACAGGTGGACCCCCACTATATACTGTACTGCATAATGCACTTTTAAATTGCTCCTTCATATTCTTCTCCAAGGTATCACACACCCTTGTAGTCTTTGTACTGATGTTACAGTGTATTTTTATATAATTTTTATATAGTATACAGCATATAAATTTTAATTTCTTATTACCTGAAGTCTGCAATGTTTTCTAGTTTTGTATTTAATTTTACTGTGTTGCATGACAAGAATATTATCTTGTATTCAGATCACTTGTCCAGCACAACTTCAGTTTTCTGGGTAAACTTGAAAAGGTTTAAAAAAACTTTTATGTCTTTCTCATTTCCTTTGCCACAGGTACTCATGGCATTTTATCTAAAAAGTATTTAGTTGTATTTCTTACTTACTTTATTTGTTGCAGCACATCTCTCTCACATTCAAGGTCAAGAGAGAACACAACAGAATCGGGAACTCGAACAGAGTTTGAGGAGACGTAAAGATGTTGGTGAACAGCAACTGGCTCAGAAGGTAATGATAATGTATATGGTGAATTTGATAGGAAGATCCATTATAGGTATGACTTTGAAAGTAACACAATAAAAACTAATTATCCTCCATTTTATTTATATTACAATTTACAATTGTAATTTGTTAATTTCCTTTGCAAATAAATTTTTTTAATGTTCTTTTATCAGCCTGACCAATTTGTGATTTTTTTTATTGTGTTATGGGATGTCTTGGTAATTGAGAAAGTTCTTATCATTAGGTGTCAGGGTTGCTGCAGCGACGAATGGACCTGGCTGAGAAACACAAAGGAACCATAGACCGTCTAAATAATCTCCAGCAACGGATTCTGGATGAAGAACTTATTAACTGGAAACGGGAACAGCAGATGGCAGGAAATGGAAAACCTTTTAACCAGAATAAACTTGACCAGATACAAGATTGGTGAGCGTGATTATGATTTTTTTTATATCATCACTGTTGCAAGGTAATGTTAACCATGTCTTAATCATCATCATTTTACAGCCATTTTATAAGCTTGCATAAAGTAGCTGCAATTACCTTATGGTAGCTGTTGGGTTAAACTGAATGGGATGGCCTACCCCTGCTCACCACTACAAACCCAGGTACTGAAGCACTGTCTTTTTTTTTTTTTTTTTTTTTCATGGGGATTAGCCCACCCGGGCACAGGTCACTGACCCACATCGGGGCCTGGGGGGCGAGAGTGTAATAATAATAATAATAATATTAATTCATAGTAAATAAAATTTATAATAAAAAATAAAAATTTGAAAATAAAATAATAAATTAATAATGATGAGAATAATAATAATAACAACACTGTAATAATAATAATAAATACAAAAAAAATGAAAAAAATTTTAAAAATGAGAAACACTATATATGTACTGTATAGTGATCCCTCGGTTAACGGAATTTCGGTTAGCGAATTACCTTCCATAAGAATCTTCAATTCGATTAACGAACAAAAATTCGGTTAACGAAATCCTTACAAAATCGTGTCAACATGTTTTCACCTGCTCACCAGCTGGAGTATTAGTCCGCCAATACAGTAATCGATTTTAGGGCTTAAATTCGTTACCATTTGAGTAAATATCAAGAAGGTTGTACTATTCGATAATTTTCCAAGTCTTATATTAAAATTTTTAGTCATTTTTAACAATTATTTAACATAATTGAAGTACAGGGAACTAGTTTTTAGCATGCCAAACAGCCACTTGACTCACCCAGAATGGCGTCAGTTTGTGTCTCTGTTCAGTGGAGGATTATTATTATAGTACAGTGACCCCTCCGTTAACGAACTCATCCGTTCCAGAAGGTCGTTCGTTAACCGAAACCATTGTTTCAATGGGTTTTTGGGTAATTGGTTCCAGCTCACCGAAAATTTCCTAAATTCAACAAAAATGGTAGAAAAGTTCACTTACTTTGAGGTGTGTATGTAGAAGGCTCCTGGATGATGATGATGATGATGGGATTTAGAATGGGGTTGGAGGAGAAGGAAAAAGAGAAGGCATTGGGGTGGAAGAGAAGTCACCCCATGGCGCCATTTCACCCATAAAATTTTAGTTCTCTTGGTGTAATTCAAGATTATTTTCTTTAAATCAACACTGCACTGCATTATATATTGTCAATATGTAAAATATATTTCAAAATGACCAATAATTTGCTTGGAAACACAGAAAAAAAGCGTTTAGTTGAAGAGAGTCTCAAGCAAGATGTTACCTCCAGTGAAAACAGAGAGAGACTAACTCCTGTTTGCTGTGTTAAGAGGCTGGATGCCGCGCATTAAACTAGTCACTTTACCTTCAGTTATGTTCAATAATTGTTAAAATGACTAAAAATTGAATATTAAACTTTTAAAATTATTGAATAGTATAAACTTCTTGATATTTACTAAAATAGTAAGGAATTTAAGCCCTAGAACCGATTAATGTATTGGCGGACTGATACTAAAGCTGGTTGCCGGTCAGTAAGCGAAAACATGTTGAGGTCGGTTAAGTAAGAACCCGTTAAACAATTTTTTTAGTTGACCGGGTGAAGATTATGGAAGGCAGTTCGTTAATGAAATTACGTAAGGGGTGTAGTAAACGAGGGGTGTGTATATTTTTTTATTTGGGGGGAGTGCTGTACATATTGTTAAAGACAGTGTCTGAGAGCTGGAGAGCGAGGAAAATTATGCGTGAAAAACTTAAGAAGACTTCATAAGATAGTACTTTCTTTAATGAATAGATGGCAAACCGATTTACAATTTATGTAGATCTTTAGAGTTTCTTCGAGAGATGATTATACAGTTCATTTGTAAACCACAGAAAACAATATGTCAGTTTGGTAATAATATTCTTATGATCTTTAGTACAATAATTATTTTTTTAAATTATTGTACATATGATTAAACATACCACATACAGTATACTTTTATCTGTAATATACAGTACAGTAGAACGTCGATACAACACAAGATACGTTCCAAGGGAGGTCGCTTTAAACCAAATTCGCACTAAATCGAAGTGTTGTTTCAATGAAATAATTTAGTTTGGCACTTGAGAGAAACACAAAATACTAAAAAGACTGAGAGTCGACCCAGTTGCACCTCAGCCCATCTCTTAGATTAAACAGAACATTGTTTTTTGTAGTATTATGTTAACAAACACTCATAAATCAACATAGCTAAAATTATGGGACGTGAAATTGTCTGTTTACTAGTGATAAGCTGATGGGAAGAGTGGGGGGGGAGTGAGGTGAGGTGAGGTGACATGACATGTTTGACAGTTGCTGCCAAGGTCTAGTGCTTATTTATTTATCTGTCCTTAAGAGTGACTTTAAGTTTTCTCTTATAAAATGTTACTGAACTGACATGTTCTAATTAATTTTATTGCAGAGGGCTAAAAAAAATTTCTCTTGTGCAAAATATATGACGTTTACATTCAAATTATTTGCCGTCTTGCAAGGATTCTAGCAATGCAAATTACATTCACCTAACTTTAATTTGTGATATTATATAAGATAAAAACTTAAACCCTAATACCACCAAACCCTGGCTGGGAAGATGGGGGAGGTGACATGTTTGACAGTTGTGCCGAAGGTCTAGTGAAGTATTTATTTGTTTATTTATGTCCTTTAGATTGAGTTTTTGTTTTTTATTTATAAAATGTCACAGAACTGACCGGGGAGAATATAATTTACATTGCTGGAATTCTTATAAGGTATTGATTAATTTGAATATAATCAGGCTATAGTTTGCACTCGACAAAATTTTAGTAATCGTTTAGTACAGTATTTTGAGTACATGTACAGTACAGCTTTGGCCTTAGGACAGTGTAGCGTGCCCAGAGAAACATTAGGCGCGAATTTTAAAATATGATGCACCAGATCGACTCGCGCAAAATAGGAAAGATTCGCTTTAAATTAAAACATTGTCCTTAATTGTTGGTGTCCCTTTAAATCAATAATCTTAAATTGAATCGCTTTAAATTGACGTTCTACTGTACCTGTAATTGGAAAATATAAGCGATGCTACAGTTGCATATGGTGTTGACTGATATAACTCTGTTGAAGGATTGTATTTATTTATTTATGTATGTTTATTTCTATTTAGGTGTGAGGCATTAGCAGAAATAATATGGCTTAATCGCTTCCAAATAAAAGAATGTGAACGGCACCAGACAAAAATACCCATCACTCCACCTGGAGGCGTTGATATGCTGCCCACTCTGAACTCTCACATTACAAGGCTCTTGTCCTCTCTTGTCACAAGGTAAGTAATTTGGGTGTTCTGTCCTTCTATATATTTATTAGTCTATCTACTTGTGAAACAGAGTATCAGTCATTACTATCTCTTTCTGTTCATCAATCCATCTATCTGCAATCAGCTGGCTTTCATTTGCCAACTGGAAAAAATCCTTAATAAAGTTTCCTCTATACATCTCTATCCTTGCTCAGATCCTGAGGATCCTTTGCACAGTCTTGGTAATTCTCTTTTGGTCTCTCCATTTTCTCATTTTATCTTTCATGCATCCACAAACATCCATCATATAATTCCTTTTTTACATTTGGCCAAACTGTTAGTGATAGCATTTATCATTGTTAGATTTTGTATTTCTTATTGTACTGAATGTGGAAGGAAACACTCATAACCACCTAGAACTTTCATTTGTCTTTAAGCTGTGAGTGGAATTGAAAGAATGTACAGTACATTACACAAAATAGATAAAGTAAAACCCCGCTTTACGCGGTTTCACTTTACTCGTTTCCATGTTTACGCGGTACCCTGCCAAAACCGGAATGCTCACTTTCCACGGTGTGTGTACCCTTTTATGCGGAGAGCGGCGCGAGCAGGGTGCGCACAAGGTCGCCCAGTCATCAAAACATTACCGAGTTCTTCACCCGCCACCCACCACAGCTGGCCCAAGTCAGTGATAGTGATAATGATAGTGAGGATATGGACTTTGAGGGGTTTGACAAAGAGGCCCTGCAAGCCTCTGTGGTGGACAGTGATACAATTGATACAAGTGATACAGGTGAGGGCCAATAATCTGCCCTCTGCCTCGGAACCAACCCCCGATCCCCGTGTGCCCAGCCATCTTTTCTACTAATGTAAGTGTTAAAAAGCCTAATATTATTGATATTTATCTTAATTATTAATTGTGTGTGCATACCATCATAAAATTAAGTAGTTATTTTTACTACAACGTAGGTATTGTGTCTGAAAAAGTGGAGTTTGGGGGTCGGCCCGGTCTCTATTTCAATTAATCCCATATGTTGTGTTGTTCGCTTTACTCGTTTCTCACTTTACGCGGGCCGCCGTGGGTTCAATTGACCACGTAAAGTGAGGGTTCACTGTAATATGATAGACCCGGTAAAACTGTAGATATTTTTATTTTGGAACTTAAAGTTTGTGAACTTCAGGGTTCTTTGTTTGAACAATGTTAATGAGCCACAGTCTTCCTTGGTAAGGCTGAGAAAAGAGATTCAATCTCCTGTTCAGATAGTTGTATAATTTTTCATGAAATTAACTCCCTAAAGACCGCAACAGTTGTATGGTGCTGTTTAATTAATTTTCACTCTTGTTATATAGCAAAGAATTAAAAGTTATCCAGTTTTGTATTGATGTTAATGTGAGAAGATGTTGATGTTTATCTCTTTATATCCACATGTAGATTTTTTAACACTCATTTAATTTTATTGTTGCAAACACCTGGCAATAGGTTTGTTTACGTGATTGGAAAAGAAGCATTTAGAAATGTGTAGCATGTGTGTCAAGTGTTGTTGGTGAGTCTGCAGAGCTTGAAGATTTGAATTTGGTTAGTGTTTGACATGTTTGGGAAGGGTTTTTACATGTATCCATCCTTTTTAAATTTGTTCAGGTTGATGATTGTTACCTGAGTTTTAGTTTCATGGATTGACCTTATTAAACATGAGGTCAGGTCATAATCATTGCATATGGTGTTGACTGATATAACTCTGTTGAAGGATTGTATTTATTTATTTATGTATGTTTATTTCTATTTAGGTGTGAGGCATTAGCAGAAATAATATGGCTTAATCGCTTCCAAATAAAAGAATGTGAACGGCACCAGACAAAAATACCCATCACTCCACCTGGAGGCGTTGATATGCTGCCCACTCTGAACTCTCACATTACAAGGCTCTTGTCCTCTCTTGTCACAAGGTAAGTAATTTGGGTGTTCTGTCCTTCTATATATTTATTAGTCTATCTACTTGTGAAACAGAGTATCAGTCATTACTATCTCTTTCTGTTCATCAATCCATCTATCTGCAATCAGCTGGCTTTCATTTGCCAACTGGAAAAAATCCTTAATAAAGTTTCCTCTATACATCTCTATCCTTGCTCAGATCCTGAGGATCCTTTGCACAGTCTTGGTAATTCTCTTTTGGTCTCTCCATTTTCTCATTTTATCTTTCATGCATCCACAAACATCCATCATATAATTCCTTTTTTACATTTGGCCAAACTGTTAGTGATAGCATTTATCATTGTTAGATTTTGTATTTCTTATTGTACTGAATGTGGAAGGAAACACTCATAACCACCTAGAACTTTCATTTGTCTTTAAGCTGTGAGTGGAATTGAAAGAATGTACAGTACATTACACAAAATAGATAAAGTAAAACCCCGCTTTACGCGGTTTCACTTTACTCGTTTCCATGTTTACGCGGTACCCTGCCAAAACCGGAATGCTCACTTTCCACGGTGTGTGTACCCTTTTATGCGGAGAGCGGCGCGAGCAGGGTGCGCACAAGGTCGCCCAGTCATCAAAACATTACCGAGTTCTTCACCCGCCACCCACCACAGCTGGCCCAAGTCAGTGATAGTGATAATGATAGTGAGGATATGGACTTTGAGGGGTTTGACAAAGAGGCCCTGCAAGCCTCTGTGGTGGACAGTGATACAATTGATACAAGTGATACAGGTGAGGGCCAATAATCTGCCCTCTGCCTCGGAACCAACCCCCGATCCCCGTGTGCCCAGCCATCTTTTCTACTAATGTAAGTGTTAAAAAGCCTAATATTATTGATATTTATCTTAATTATTAATTGTGTGTGCATACCATCATAAAATTAAGTAGTTATTTTTACTACAACGTAGGTATTGTGTCTGAAAAGTGGAGTTTGGGGGTCGGCCCGGTCTCTATTTCAATTAATCCCATATGGTTGTGTTGTTAGCTTTACCGTTTCTCACTTTATGGCGGGCGCCGTGGGTTCAATGACCCGCGTAAAGTGAGGTTCACTGTAATATGATAGACCGGTAAAACTGTGAATTTTTATTTTGGAACTTAGAAGTTTGTGAACTTCAGGGTTCTTTTGTTTGAACAATGTTAATGAGCCACAGTCTTCCTTGGTAAGGCTGAGAAAAGAGATTCAATCTCCTGTTCAGATAGTTGTATAATTTTCATGAAATTAACTCCTAAAGACCCTAAGCAGTTGTATGGTGCTGTTTAATTAATTTTCACTCTTGTTATATAGCAAAAGAATTAAAAGTTATCCAGTTTTGTATTGATGTTAATGTGAGAAGATGTTGATGTTTATCTCTTTATATCCACATGTAGATTTTTTAACACTCATTTAATTTTATTATTGCAAACACCTGGCAATAGGTTTGTTTCACGTGATTGGAAAAGAAGCATTTAGAAATGTGTAGCATGTGTGTCAAGTGTTGTTGGTGAGTCTGCAGAGCTTGAAGATTTGAATTTGGTTAGTGTTTGACATGTTTGGGAAGGGTTTTTACATGTATCCATCCTTTTAAATTTGTTCAGGTTGATGATTGTTACTGGGGTTTTAGTTTTCATGGATTGACCTTAAACATGAGGTCAGGTCATAATCA